GTAGTGTGGCCAGGAGGCCCCCTGACAAGGCCCTAGAGGAAGGGAACTGGTAATGCAGGGGTGCTGGGGAATCGGGACAGGAGCCAGCACTGGGAAGGGAGTGCGGTGCCTCAAGGCTGAGGCCAGAGCCTGTGCTGTGTTCAAACAACACCTAGGAGCAGGGCGAGTGCAGGAGTGGAGAGTGGGTGAAGATGGAATGTTGGTAGGGCCTGGGGTCAGAAGTAGGGCCCATCGGCCGTGTTAAGGGGATTTTTCTGTAAGATAAATAGGGTATCTCTGGTTCATTTTGAGCAGAGTTGATCTGATCTTGCCTTAAGAATATTCCTCTAATGGCTGGGTTGAGACTTGAGTAATAAATCCCTCTACAGAGCCCGGCATAGGACCTACCCAGTGATCCACCCAGATGCCTCCGGGCATGTTCCCTGTGTTCCCTGTTAGCCCTTCTTACCCTGGGTTCTATGGCATTTTACACAAAGATTGAAGGTAAGGGGTGCCTGGCTGGCTCAGTCAGTGGAGCATGTGACTCTTGATCTCAGGGCTACAAGTTTGAGCCCCACATTAGTTGTAGAGGTGACTTAAAAATAAAACCTAAAAAAAAAAAAGGAGGGTAAGGTGCTGCTACCTTCTGGGAAACAGAAATATTACAAGGTTTTAAGCACAAGTTTTAGAATAAAACTTACAACTTTTTCTTTAGTAGGCCCTTTTTAAAAAAGCTCTCAGAGGACTACTCAGCAGTACAAAGTAATGAACTACTGACTGATGTTAACAACAACCTGGCTGGATCTCCAGAGAAATACAGAATACTGTATCTATGTATTATACTATATATATACACACACACATACACATATATATAAATACTATATACATGAAATATTATTCATATATAACAGCTATAGAATATTATATCAAACTTTTACCTTGATTATTTCTGAGTGCTGGGTTAAAAACTGATTTACCGGGGCGCCTGGGTGGCTCAGTGGATTAAGCCTTTGCCTTCGGCTTGGGTGGTGGTCTCAGGGTCCTGAGATCGACCTTCGTTGGGCTCTCTGCTCAGCCGGGAGCCTGCTTCCCCCTTTCTTTCTGCCTACCTCTCTGCCTTCTTGTGATCCCTCTCTCTCTATTGGATAAATAAAATCTTAAAAAAAAAAATTTAAAAAACCTGATTTACCAGGGTGCCTGGGTGGCTCAGTGGGTTAAAGACTCTGCCTTTGGCTTGGGTCATGATCCCAGGGTCCTGGGATCGAGCCCCACATCGGGCTCTCTGCTCGGCGGGGAGCCTGCTTCGCTTCCTCTCTCTGCCTGCCTCTCTGCCTACTTGTGATCTCTGTCTGTCAAGTAAATAAATAAAATCTTAAAAAAAAAAAAAAGATTTACCTAAGTGAGATATCTCTGTAATGTTCAACTTTTCTGTAATAAGCATGAAAGATGTTTAGAAACATCTTTAGAAAAAAATAAGATGGGGTGCCTGGTTGCCTTAGTTGGCTAAGTGTCAGATTCTTTGGCTCGGGTCATGATCTCATGGGTCATGGGACTGAGCCTGAGTTGGCCTCCACTTTCAGCTTGAAGGTTCTCTTCCTCTGTCCCTCCCTCTTGTGCCCACTTGCTCTCTTTCTCTCCCTAAAATAAATAAATAAATCTTAAAAAAAAAAAAGATTATTTAAATTTAAAAATGGGTAAGGGGTGCCTGACTGGCTCACTGAGTAGAGCATAAACTTTTTTTTGTTTGTTTTGTTTGTTTGTTTGTTTGTTTAAGTAATCTCTATACCCAACCTGGGGCTCAGACAAATCCTAGATCAAGGTTTTCATGCTCTTCCAACTGAGCTAGGTAGGCAGCTGGAGCACACAACTCTTGATCTCCAGGTCGTTGAGTTCAAGCACCACACTGGGCATACAGTTTACATAAAAAATATATATATACACACACACACATACATACATATACATACACAAAGGGGAAGGGATACAGATAGTCCCCAAGCAGGCACAGTCACTGGGTTCTTTCTCAGATAGTGATACTAGAAAGGCAGGGTAGCCCAGTCCTCCAGAAACAGCTTAGGAGCGAGATGGCCTGTAAGACCTCTGAGAACCTTGGTCTCCTCCTGTGTGTAGATGGAATAATACAAGTTCCCATCTCATAAGCTGCTGGGAAAATTGAGTTAATATGAAGTGTTTGTAACAGTGACCTTCACATATTAAGTGTTCAATTAAGTAGAAATTACTCTTTGCTTACTTGGATTCTTTCCCAGGCAACCCCTCCTCTGGGAGAAGAAAACAAAAGGAGGGAATTGTGACTAAAGCCATGCTCCTCCAAGGAGAAATAGGCCCAGGGAAGGGGACTCTTCCACACAGAGAAGCCTGGGCAGAGACTCCTCTCATCCTATGGCTACTTTTCCCTCTCCCTGCCAGAGGGGTGGTGGTTGAAATGGAGGGTGAGGAAGGGGGTGGGGGAAGGACTTGTTTTTCTCGGGAATCAGCAGCCCAACTCCAGAGCCCAGCTGCCAAAGTCACAGGCTAACATGGACTCTGACCTGCATGGTGCCCCCCCCACCCCAACCTCCCGTCACATTCCCTGACTTCCACCTGTGGTTAACCCAGACCCAAGACGACCTCCGAAAGCCCCTTGCCCCAGGCTTGGACAGGCAGAATCAGCCTAACCTACTAGGTACCAGCCTGTAATTGACAAGTCAGGCTCACTGGTGCTGGGCAATGAGGGAGTCCCACATATTGAGGGTGTAGGTCTCATGGGGTCCTTCACCCCAGAGTGGTTGCTTCCAGGAGGGAACTGTGCAATTTGTTCAGACGAAATTGGAATAAAGCCGTGTTTGGCAGGCTGAAGATACAGGAGGATGGGGACTGGTGTCCACTGAGAAGTGGAGCCAGGGAACGAAACCGTTCAGAGGGATGTGGAAGGTTTTGTCCGGAAACCCTCTACCAGAGGGGGCTCCCAGGTTGGAATCGCGGAATCTCGGGCCAAAGTGGCTGAGGTCCCCCTGCGCCTGGCTGTCTCAGTGGGTAGATTGTGCTGTTCTCAATCTCTGGGTGAGTTCCAGCCCCACCATGGGTTTCTGAGATTACTTAAATAAATCAACTTTTTTTAAAAAAAGCAGTTTTCGGTCACTCAGAAGGTGGCGTTCTGACAATGTCACTTCAGTCTCTGCCGCACCAGCCCCACGAACAAACGGCCACGGACTTCGCTTTCCTAAGTGGAGCTTATTTTTACTTCACGGTTGCAATCCACTCACACCAGCATCCTCCCCTGCCCAAGGAGGAGGGGGTCAGGCACCCCACTTCCCAGGATGGGAAAGCTAGCTTGGAAGCCACTTCTGGCTGCTCCCCTACGTTGGGCTCCCCGCACCTGGTGCTCTCCTGCCTTCCTCCTGCTCCGACCTCCCATGGGGCTCCAGGGTCCCCCAATTCCCGGCTCAGGAGGGGACAGTGGTTCTGCCTGCAGTGACCGCACCTGCCTCCTCTTTGATCTCCTCACTGATGTTCCACTTACACTGGCTTTTCTCTGGTCCTCCAAATGCCGATTGCAAGCGCTAGTCTCTCTACCAGGAAGGATGTCTGTGCAGCTGGCTTCTCTGATCATTCACCTTCGAGGATTCAGCTCAGAGGTCACCTCTTAACCCGATCACATCATCACCGTGCACGCCGGCTGCTGAAACACACTCGTTTTCTTCACAGGGTGCCTCGGCTCAGAATCCTGGGGCCTTAAGGGCCTTATAGGATTGGTCCTTCTGGGTGATGAGCCTGGCTCCCTGCCACCCTTGGTCTTCCATTAGACAGGGGTCTCCAGTCTCACTCAGGTTCCTGGACTTCCTGCGGCAGCTCATGTCCGGCCTTGGAACCCTCCCCCACTTCTGCCTCCTTCTGTGTCCTATTTCAAGGACCCTAAGCAGATCTATGAACCTCCTGGATGGGCTGCCAACCAGGAGGAAGGGTTCAGCTTTCAGACTCCCCTGCTCTGGCGTTCTAACCCAAGTCTACAAGTCAGGGGCCTGAAGTCTAGGACACAGGCCCCACCCTGAGAAGTAGAGGGAGGATCTGGAGCAGTGCACCATTAGAGAGCTGGCCTGAAGCAACACCAAGATATACCAAGTTGCACCAACATGGCTGTCCATCACTCCAGATCTGGTGCACCCCAGACTGTGCACCACCATCTGGAAGGGACAGGGGAGATCTCTGCTGCTTCAGTCTGCTTCCACTCTAGGACTGATGTTGGGAGCAGGGGCTGGACTGAGGGCACCTTAGCTCCTTCTGTTCTAGACTATGGAGGTTGGCATGAAGGATAGGGCTGCAGGACAGACAGGCTGACAAGATGGGAGAGGCATTTCCCCAGCCCAACCCCATACATGTAGGGACCTCTCAAGTGAGGTGTTCTGGGAGTGGACTTTGGACATACTGGGGAACCTAGATTTGTATGGATGGTCTTTGGTTCTAAGATGCAGGGCTTCTTGGGATGTGGCTCATATTAGGGTCCAATAGGATATTATCTAGGGTAGGCAGAGAGTCCCTGGGTTTGTCTGAGGGTTATATAGGATTTTACTGGGGTGGGTCAATGAAGGAATTGCTTCATTTCCTGAGCTGTGTGAACGACAGCATTCACTGAGTGAGGTGGCCTGTTCATGGAGGGTGAGCCCCTGGGGATCATTCTGGGTTAGAGAATGTCATGGGTACCTGGCTCACGGGGACTTCTAGGGTCTCTAGGCAAGGTAAGGAAATTGTAAGGTCCTTTGATATAACATTGAGGTATTTTGAACAGTGCATGGATGAGGCAAGAGGGCAGAAAACCAATGATTAGGTTTTCAAAGTTGGGGGCATGCTGGGAGTAGGCCTCAGGACAGACATGTGGCTGTAAGAAGCAACAGTAATCCACAGGACTCCCTCCCCACCAGCCACTGAGGGCCTGAGCATTTCTGAGCAAGATGTCAGAGTCCCTGCCCAGCCTGCCCATCCCTGGGATCAGACACACAGAAGGACCCACTCACACACTGGCGGGAGGGGTGAGACAGTTTAATTTAGAAATAAGCTTTGCACAGCCTTCTGATCAGAAGGGAGCCTAAAGGCCCACCCTTGGGGGGAAAGGCCATCATGGAGCGTAGGGTCCCCAGGTGGGGAAGGAACAGCATCGGAGCCAGTACCAAGAGTGCCATGAAGCTGGTCCTGTGCTCAGCAGGTACTGGCAGAGCCTGAGGAGAGAATGGGAGTCAGGTCCTTGCGACATGGTCACTACAAAGACAACCCCCTCAGCCTCCAGAAACTCCCAGGCTGGGTTGGCTCAGACCAGCCTTACACAAGGCATTTGATAACGCTCAAATACTATGGCCACCCTGCCTGAGTGCCCGGAAGCTCCTCAAAGACACCAAAGAAGCCCGTCTTACCTGGAGTGATGAGTGGAATGGCTTTCTCAGGTAAGGGGCTGAGAAAGGAGCACATCAAATTAGCATTCCCAGACCCTCTGTCCTTTATCCCCCAGGAAGACGCCTGGTGCTCCCTCCCTAGGAGGGCACGCACACTTCCTTGCTATTCTTCCATTGTCACTTTAGGTCCTACCTTTTTTTTTTTTTTTTTAAGATTTTATTTATTTATTTTACAGATAGAGATCACAAGTAGGCAGAGAGGCAGGCAGAGAGAGAGGAAGGGAAGCAGGCTCCCTGCTGAGCAGAGAGCCCCATGTGGGGCTCGATCCCAGAACCCTGAGATCATGACCTGAGCCGAAGGCAGAGGCTTTAACCCACTGAGCCACCCAGGTGCCCCCCATTGTCACTTTAAACAATAACAAGGGTTATAGCTTTCCCTGATTTGGGGCACTTCAGGGCTGATAATCCGTGAATAACAAATCTCACTGCAAGCCCAGGATGCAGCCCAGGGGCTGTCCTCTTGCTCTAAATTACAGGATGTTACCCCAAAAGAGATGTGCTCTGCTCCCAGGGCATACAATAGGGGCCCTGTCTCACCTGTGCTTCTGATTGTACTTGCATTTGCATTTTCCACCTGTGAGAGGAAGAGCTGGTAGGTGCAAAGAAGCTGGGGCACCTGGGACACCCCACACCCTCCCCCGTGCCCGGCCGGGTGGCCCCACCACTCACTCAGGGCTATCAAGATTCCAGTGATGCACAGGAGCCCTCCAAAAATCATGCCGCCCAGCTGCAGGCTTTCCCAGTCTGGGGGAGCAGAGAGTGAGCTGGCACGAGCCCAGCTCCACTCCACTTGCTCATTCAAAACACACATCTGATCGATCACCTGCTTGTCCCCTGCTCATGCATTTGCACTTACATTTCAGGCAACAGGAAAGACGAGCCAGTAAATAGATAGGGGTTATAATATCTGGGAACAGCATGAGGAAGAAAAAATAAGCAGAAGAGCACAGAAAAAGAAGGGAGTTGGAAGCCTTTTTGATCAAGGAAGTCTTTTCTGAAAGGTGGCATTTGTGCTGAGGCTGGAGGGAGAGAAGATTGTGTAGGAACACTGGAGGACAGTGGCGGACCGAGGAAGAGGAAAGCTGCTGCGGGCTGTCGGGCAACGAGGAGACCATGCTGGGGAAGGCAAGTGAGAGAGTGGAAGATGAGGTGAGATACCTGGGGGCTCAAAAGCCTCCAGCCCCTTCCCCAGAAATCTTCCTAAATATCCTGTGGGTACCTTCCCTCCTTGCTGGAATGAAGTTCTCCCAAAGCCCATGCTGCATATTGCCCTCTCCCTCTTTTCATAGACCATTCTGACTCTGTAATCCCCAGTCCAGCCCCATGCTGCCCCTTTCCTCATTAGCCCTCACCAAGCTCTAGCAAAGAGGTCCAGGGGTGGGGGATGAGGGAGATCAGCTCTTACCATAGTAGAAGGGACTGTCTTTATCTGCAGGAAAGGGGATGGGGGGGAAAAAAAACAATAAGGACCAGAACCAGGATGTGGGGTCTTAGAGGGAAAATGTGGGGCAGTGGGAGCACGGCAGTCTGGGGCCTCACTCACCAACCAGGTCATTGGCTTCTAAGGCAGGCAGGCCTGGGTGGGAAAAGGAGGGATCTGGTATTAATTCATGACACTGGTCTCAAAAGGAAGCAGCAGGCATGTCCTCAGCCCAGACCAGCCTCCTGGGTGGGCAGGGGAAGACACCATCACACCTTCCCCGGCCCCAGATAGTCCTGGGATTTTGTCCTTCATCACATAGCCGTTTCCCCCACCCCCCAGCCCTTCCTGCCATTTCTCAGACTTCCTGCTATTTCTTGCATCTGAAATGCATGCTGTGTTGGTATCGTTTTACCCTCTTCTGAGCAGCTTCCTACAGAGATCCTGGCTAATGCCCTACAGGGAACAGGGAATGCTTCTCTCTTTATGCCAACAGATGGTTACTGTTTTCCAACATTCAATTATTTAGGACAATTTTTGCAATATCCACTTCCTCCTGTACTATTATCTCCTTAGTGTCACTCTTTAAATGGACAGTTTAAATGAAAAAACATTTGTTCAACATCAGGCCCCCTTTGGGAGATGCTGCCCTGGTTTTCTCTGCCTTGTGGGGAGGGTGAGTGGTAGCAGGTTCATTTCTGGGAGGACTCACCTGCCAGTGTGAGGAGAAGGCCCCGGGTCACTCTGTTCATGATATGGCTGCAGAGCAGGGCTGCAGGGGAGGGGGGTGGGCTGGGGTCAGATAGCCAGGACCTGCCCCAGATTCACAGTGCCTGGGGCACAGAGCCAGGGCACAGATCCCAAGAGTGCACTTAGTTCATGAGGTGAGTTTGGGAAAACTGATTTCTGTTTCCCCATCTAGGGATGAAAATCGTAAATGCCCAGTGGAGTTACCTGGATTGAGTTAATACTAGTTAAGTACTTCGAACAATGCTCACGCCTAGTAAGTGATTTGTTAAATTCTTTGTTAAAGTCTTTAATCAGAAGCCTGACCCTAGGTCAGAGGAGCAGGGCTACTGTTCTAACTCAGGCTTTGGTTCCTTACCCCCACTCAAAAGGCTAGGTACCCTGAGCTATTGTTCCCAAAGGTCTGGGCCTCCGGCGATATCAGGATGAATTCCAAGATAGTCTCTGCAAAGGGTGAGCACACCCGGGCTGAGCTGCAGAGAAACAGGCAGCTGAGGAGGGGAAAGGTGGTAGGGGAAGCATGTGAGGGCCTCCCACTCCAGCCCCAGCCAGGGATCCTGCTCCAAGGCAGCCCCAAATCCCACAGCAGGAAACTGCCTGGTGGGTGGAAGGAACATTGCTCCTTTCTTTCCCCCCAGGGTGGGAACCATCCATGTCCCTAAGTACTAGTTCCTAGGGTGGCTGTTTCCTCAAGATAAAACCCCTTCCAGCTTTCTGCATGTTGTTAGCTGTAGGCAAGCTTAGGGACTGTTAGCTGTTGCAAACTGAAGCCCCCATTCTTATCTGCTGGGCCTAGCGGGCTGGAACTCTTATCCCCTCAAACCCACCGAACAGCTGTGTGACTCAGTGGCTTGCTTCACCTCTCAGTGCTTCAGTGTCCTGTAAAATAAGGACAATCAATAGCAACTGCATACAGATATGATCAAATTAAATGCATTACTCTATGTGAAGCCTAAGAATAATGCCTAGCACACAGTAAGTAATGAAACGTGTTACAATAAATACACAGCCCTCCATACTTGCTAAATGGGATGCTGCCTGATTCATGAATTGCTTAATAAAAGTTGATATATAAATAGATACATACATACATTCATACATAGGTCCTTTTGCCTTAGATGGGAGGGACTAGTAATGTCCAGCTTCTGAATGTGGAAGTTTGTTGACTTTTAGCAGTCTCTGAAGCTGGCCCTCCTTGGGACTCACCCTTCTCACCACCCTGGGATTCCTTAGCCAAAGGCGGGCTCCTGTTTCCTCCCTCCTCAAAACCCTCAAACATGCACCCTGTTACTGAGAATACCCGGGCACCCACCACCCCTTCCTCAGACTGGTACCCCCCTCCACCCTCACCCTTCTTCTGCCACCCTTCCACCCAGCAGCCCTGAAGTCCTAGCCAGACACTTGCTCACCTGAGAGCCGGGTGCAGATCTGGAGAGGCTGCTGGGGCTGGGTTCAGCCCAGGTGGGTTCCAGCTCTTTAAACCCAACAGCTCCGCCCAGGGCAACAATACCTGTAGGCAGGAGGGAACTGGTCAGATTCCTTGAGATTCCAGTAGCTCCTTCTCCACTCCTCCCACACACACCCCCCCCAACCCTGTGCGCTCTTGAGACAGCTTGCCCTGCCACACCCAGTGCAGAGCTGAGCTCCTGGGGGCGCCGGGGCCATCAGAGGTTAAGGTGGTGAGACTTTTCTTGAGGAGAAAGTGGACTTTCAGCTTCTTCAGCTCATTTAGAGGGGTCCAGAGGGTTGCTGGAAGGGGGATAGGCTGTATCTGGGTTCTTGTGCCAGCAGCAGGGGTTCAAGGACTGCTGTGTGGGGTATCCAGGGGACAACCGAGTCAAAGAGTCAGGGACTGGCCTTGAGGCTCCATTTACTCAGTGGTCCCATTGCTTTCCCCTGGACTGGGTGTTTACTGAGGGGGACGGCTGGGGTTGATGGCTTCCTTCAGGATTGCCCACTGTCTGACCAGGCCGTGACACCCACTTAAGCCCAGGGAAACTGATGGCTAGGATTAGAAACCACCCTGGCCCAGGCCCTGGTTTCCTGCCTGCTCCACAGAGTGTGGGGGGAGGGGTGGTGCCAGGAGGAGGACTGCCAGCTCCAGGCTGAATAGTGGGCTCCTTCCCTCTGTGGACCCCCATACCTGCCTCACGGGCTGCTGGCCAAACCCCCCTTTCGCCCCTCACTCCACCACATGCTCTTGGCCTGGGTGAGCTCTGGCTTCTCCCTTCTGCTGTCCCTCCTCCCCAGTTCCTCTCTTTGCTGCTTTTATCACTGGATGGTGATCAGCGGAGATCAGGGCCATTGGTTCCCTTATTCCCAATGGCCAGTCATGGACATCAGTAAATCAATTTTGATTGGATTGTTGAGTCAGTGAGGACAAGAAGCCACCAGAGGCTCCCAGTCCTGGGGATGAGGGGGCAAAACAAAACCTTGAAAAGCAGGGTGGGGAGGAAGGGTGAGTAGGAAGGGGGTGGATATTCCTGGTACCAACATATTACACCTTCTCATGAAAACCTTCCATGGTGCTCCCTGCCTTCAAAAGTTCAAGTCCAGGGGCTCTGGGGCCAGGAAGAGCTAGAATTGAAGCCCAGCTTGCCGTTTGCTCACTGGGTAAGCTCAGGTAGCTCCTTTATCATTCCGAACCCCAGTTCCCTCTCCTCTAAAATGGAATAATGACAGGACTGACCTTTGAGGTTTGCGGCGTAGGTTTTGCGGGGGTATGGGCCTGCTCCATGATCAGCCCTCAATACGTATTTGTGGAATGAATGCCTCCTAGGTCTGGTGCGGGGAAAGTTCGTCAACCTCAAGATTCAGAACCATTAATTGCACATACTTGGAAGTCAAATCCAGGCTCTGTTAGTTACTTGCTATGTGCACTTGAGCAACTAATTTACCCTCTTCCTATTTATTCATCCATAAAGTAGGAACCATGACCGAGCCTACTCTGAATGTTTGTGGGGACGATGACATCAGATTGTGCTGCTTGGTTCATGGTAACTGGAGCTCGGAAGGCCCTGTTAGACGCCCAGAGAGATCTGCAGCATAAGAGAAAGGGGGTCTTCAATAGAGAGCCCCCCCACCGACAGAGAAGCCACATTCTAGAGAAGAGAAAGGTCTTGCTCAAGGTCACATTGTGCCTTTGTGGAGGAAGGGGGTCTTAGCTCAATTGATTAGACCCTTCAGCAGCGTTCTTCTGCCCTGTCAGGCCACAGTGAGGAAGCCGCAGCCATGAAGCAGGCATTCACAAAAAGGGCCCTCTTTGCTTTGGGAGGTCTCCAGGAAGCATGGAAAGGACCTCAGATCCACTTCTCCAGAAGGCCCTAGCACCTTTGCTCTGCCCTGCAGCTTCTGTCCTTAGTCAGGCATCCTCCACTCCCATCCATATCCCTATGAGATAGCATCATCTGTAACAGGTAGAAAGAGAACTTCACCTGAGCCTCGTGGTCTTGACACTGGTCCAAGGTAGGGGATAGTTGAGCCTGGCCCAGAACCAGCGAGAGAGAGCCCAGCTACCTGTGTGTGACTTCTGCAAGCACAATGGTAAGTCACCACCTCATCTCTTCCATTTGCCCAAACTGGCCATAGGTGTCGGTGCAGAACAGCTGAAGAGCGCATCTATGCCCTCTTGGAGGGGCCTCAAAGGCTGACCATTCACTCCGTGGCAGGCAGCAATGCCTTCCCCGCTGGAAGTGGTGGGAAGTCAATTCCCAGGTTAGTGCCTTTATCTTTTTAGATATTAAAATCAGTACTTACACGTGGTCATGAAACTGGTTGTTGAAACTTTAAATGTTTGGCATATTAAGAAGTGCTTACTAACCTCTCCTTTTCATTCATTAGGAGTGTTTAGGATGAACAACTGCTCGGTCTCTCAAAGTAGAATTCCTGAGAGGCTGGACTGGCAGTGAAGGCTGTTTTCAGGAAATCACTTTCAAGGAGGGCTGGTCGCTTACCCTGCTTCTTGGATATGCATTCCTCGTCAGAATCTCTGGAGCCATCCATTTGGGTCTGATTTCTTTTCTTCCTTCCTTCCTCCCTTCCTTTCTTCCTTCCTTCCTTTTAAGATTTTATTTATTTATTTATTTATAAGATTTTATTTATTTGTTTGGAAGAAAGAGATAGGGAGCATGAGCAGGGTGAGGAGCAGAGGGAGAAGCAGAGTTCCCGATGAGGGGGGAGCCCGATGTGGGGCTCAATCTTGGGACTCCGGGATCATAACCTGAGCTGAAGGCAGACGCTTAACCGACTGAACCGCCCAGATGTCCCATGAATCTGATTTCTTACCTTCCAGATGGGAGATCTGGGTAAGAGGCACTGAGACTTACAGGGAAATCAAGCCTTGGGGGTGATGGAAGGCTGGAAAGAGTGGGTGAAGGAGAGACAGACTTTGGCAGGTGCAAGTGACAGCCTGGAGGTATTAAAAGTTGAGAGGGAGAAAATGGAAAGATCCAGTCTGAACTCTTTCCTCCCCTTCTGGAGTCAGTGTTGCAAAGGATATAAAGGACCTTGTGTGGAAGAAGGTAAGTCTGTTGCCAAGAGTGTCCACCTGAAAATCAGCACTGATGCCCAGGATCCCACCTCTGCTCATGGCAATCACTGCCACACCTCCTCACCCTCCCAAACTGTGTTTCTCCCCTTCTGCAAGCACCAGTATTGCTCTGTGAAAACCAGAGATGCATCCTCAAAGCCATTAACCTTCCTGAGAAAAGGTAATGAAACAGGAATTATCTAAGAATGACCAGAGGTAAAATGAAAGGGAAGTAGTAGTTATCTTGCCTAGCACATAGTGGGAGCATAATGTGTTTTTTTTCCTACCTTCCAAGAGGGACTGAATGTCAGCATCAGTAGAAGGCTGAGACTGTCTATTTTGAGGGGGTTTGGTAGAGGAGGGAGAAGACCGCATTCATGAGGTGAGAGGTTATCTCTGATCTCTGAGGCTTCTCCCAGTTGTCTCCAGTGTTTCATCCCTATGACAAATACATACTGAATTCCCACCTGGACCCACCTCCTGTGCTGTCTCCCTCAGGAGTCCCCCAGCTCTCCTTCCCCCTCTCTGCATTTTCCCCCAGGTCCCCCAGGTGAGTTCAGAGAGCTGGGCTCCTATCTGGGGGCACACAGATCTGGAGCTCACTCCCTTTGATGATGTGGGAGAGGAGTGGGAGAGAATGAGGCAGCCTGTGAGAGGAGGGTAGCGGGTGTAAGGGTGAGGGCGGCCATCTGAAGGGTAGCCACTGTCTGAGGGCTCACTGTTAGGCCTTTGGCCCACTCTCGTGCGTTAGGGAGACAGGAGGAGGGGGGCTTCACTGCGGATTCCAAGGGCCTTCTGGAAGAGAGGACACGGAAACGATGAGAGGTAGGTCGTCTCACGAAGAGGGATCTATGGGTCTCGGTGGTAGCCACTCCCCTTAGGACTGTGTAAGAGTCTAACTCTCTTAAGCCGACTGCGGCCTCCAGAAATGACGATTCCTCCGCCTCTAGGAGGCCCCTTTCAAGCGGCCATCCGTTACCACCCTTCCCCTTCGCGCATAGGACCAAAAAACAGCCAATCGGAATAGAACCGTGGTGGCTTCCAGCCAATAAGCACTAAGATATGGCTGTTGAGGCGGGGCCGCGGGTGAAGCCGCCTGTGGGGCGAAGACCCAGGCTGCGTGGGCGGGGCCTTTCTGTGGTTCCTCCTCGCGCGGATTGGCTGCTCCGGTTCAATAGCGCGTTTGTCAAGTAGTCGCCTTGTTACGCATGCGCAGCCACACAGGCTGCTGTTTGCCCTGTGAAGGTCGTGACTCTGTTTAAATCTTGTCAGAGTCTTTGCGCGTCTCCTGTTAGTTCGTGCAACCGTGGTTGTCACGGTTTTCGGGAAGTCGTGGTCATCGGTAACTGGGACCCTAGAGGCTGTGAAGGATAGCTGAGGTGAAGGGACAGCACAGCTGCTGAGTCCAGAGCAGGCCAGGGAGGAGGAAGCCAAGAGCAGGGCCGCATGGGGAACGGGCAGGAGGCGGTGAGCTTCTTGGAGTGAGGCCAGAAAGCCGGCAAGGGACCTTGGACTTGGGGAGGCCTTCACACAAGGGCGAGATACGAGGCAGAAGTCCTAATGCGGAAGGAGAGAGGCGGAAACTGTTCACTGAACTGAGGTCAGGCGACGTCACTTACTGACTTTTTGTTGTTTTTGTTAGACCTCAGTAAAGCTTTCCTCTCACTCATAGTGCCCTAAGCATAGTTGTCCAACAGCTACGCGTGCCTCTCATGAACCACATTTCTCAGCTCTCGACCTTGTAATTGAAGTATCTCGTGGACACGCGTCCTCTTCACTTCCTAGGGGTACTTGACAGGCAACTTCCAAAACAACTATTCCTGGGTGCCTGGCTGACTCGGTAGTACTGTTGATCTTGGGATTGTGAGTTCGAGCCCCACGTAGGGTGTAGAGATTACTTAAGGGCCACCTGGGTGGCTAAGTTGGTTAAGTGTCTGCCTTCAGCTCAGGTCATGATACCAGGGTACAAGGATCAGAGCCCCCTGTCCCTCTTCCCTGCTTTCTCAAATAAATAAATAAAATCTTAAAAAAAAAAAAGAAAAAAAAGAATCTTAACGCTGTTTAATACCCCCCCCCCCCCAATATATTTCAGAGTTCTCTCTTTTAGGTCACCTGTTTATCCACCTGGCCACACAGGCCACCACTAAGCACATAAGGAGTTCTCTATTGATGCACCTGCTCCTCAGGCTAGGACGCTTCAAGGGCACTAACACTTCTCACTCTGGTGACTGCAGCTTCCTCCACTAGAGCAGCCTGTGAGTGCTTGCTGCGTGGCAGGCTGTTTTCCAGCACTTTCCGTGTGTTAAGTCATGTTATCCTAAGAACAGCCTATCTAGAGAGGATTCATTGCCTGATTTCAGGATGAGAAAATGAGGTGAATCGTTAAGTGAAGCTCTGGGCCACACTGCTGGAAGTGGCTATCCAGCCCTAGAGCTGGCTCTTAACTACCACTCTCGACACTAAGCTGTGCATGTGATTTATTTTTAATATTATTTAATACAGATCTGTTGAGAAACGATTTACCTACCAAGCAATTACCCTATTTAAAATGTAGAGTTCAGGGCGCTTGGATGGCTCAGTTGGCTGAGTGTCTAGCTCTTGGTTTCTGCTCAGGCCATGATCTCGTGAGTCATGGGATGGAACCCTGTGTTGGGCCCGTGCTCAGTGGGGAGTTTGCTTGAAATTCTTTCTCACCCTCTCCTTTTGCCCCTCCCCCTCTGCACATTTGTGTGTGTGTGTGTGTGTGTGTGTGTGTATGCCCTGTCAAAATACATCTTAATTTTTCAGAAAATTATTTATTTGACAGAGTACAAGCAGGGGGAGTGGGAGAGGGAGAGGCAGGCTTCCTTTGGAGCAGGGAGCCTGCCTCGGGGCTTGATCCCAGGACCCTGGGATTATGACCTGAGTGGAAGGCAAAGGCCTAATGACTGATCCACCCAGGTACCCCTAAAATACATCATAAAAAAAAATATTTATTTTTTTTTTTTTTTTTTCTCTTTGGGGGTGTGTGTGTGTGTGTGATTTTTATGCAAGTAATAATATTTAGCTATTAAAAACATTTTTTTGAAGTAATTTCTGTGTCCAGTGTGCAGCTTGAACCCACAACCCTGAGATCAAGAGTTGAATTCTAAGTGTACTTTTTATTTTCACTAGGGGCCCAGTTGTCAAAAAGTTGGTATCACTATGCATGTATATGTGTGCCAGGGTTTTTAAAAGAAGTTATAAGTTGGGTGCATGGGTAGCTTAGTCATTAAGCATCTGCCTTCAGCTCAGGTCATGATCCCAGGGTCCTGGGCCCCACATCGGGCTCCCTGCTCCAATGCCCAGTAAGCTACCTCCTGTCAGAATGGCTACCCTGGGAAGGGGCATTTACTAGGACGGGGTCCAAGCATCCTGACTCATGTGCAACCTGTGCTCTCCCTCCACCAGCCTCAAAGTAACCTTTGGAAATTTGTAAAATAGTAACCTTTGGAAATTTGTAAAATAGAAGAAAGCACTCTCCTAAAAACAGGAAGCCTGCTTCTCCCTCTCCCGCTCCCTCTGCTTCTATTTTCTCTCTCACTGTGTCTCTCTCTGTCAAATAAATAGATAAAATCTTAAAAAAAAAATAAAATAAGTTATAAGTTAGGTTCCTGGCTGGCTCAGTTGGTAGAGCATGAGACTTTTGATCTTTTTCTTTTTAAAATATTTTACTTATTTATTTGACAGACAGAGATCACAAGTAGGCAGAGAGGCAGGCAGAGAGAGAGAGGGGGAAACAGGCTCCCTGCTGAGCAGAGAGCCTGATGTGGGGTTCCATCCTAGGACCCAGAGATCACGACCTGAGCAGAAGGCAGGGGCTTAACCCACTGAGCCACCCAGGCTCCCCGAGACACTTGATCTTGGAGGTCATGAGTTCAAGGCCCACCTTGGGGGTAGAGTTTATGTACTAAAAAAGAAAAAAAAAAAAGATAACATATGTTACAATTTGGTTTTACAACTTTTCAAAGTATTTTCATTCTAATATAATTAATTTGATATCTATTGAATAAACATAAATTTTGATTCTTACCCCAGTTCCAGGAACTGGGGGCCCTGAACCAGGCAATGCAAAGCCCCTGCCTCAAGTGACTGACATCACGGTGAGGGCAATGAGTTGGAAAAAAAATAGATGGTACAATATTTCAAGTACTGATGGACAGGTGCAGTGAAGACACAGAAAGCAGCTGAGATGCAGAGAATGATGGGGGAGAGACAGCTTTCTTAGACTGGAAGGTCAGAATTGGTCAATGATAGAAACATAGATTTAAAACATTTGTATGCCACAGTCAAATTTTCCTTTGCCATTTTTTTTTTTTTCCTGGTTGAATTGAGCCAAGGAAGTCAAACATATACCCAGATTTTAGGTTAGAGCATAATTTACAAAAAAAGGATTTTTTTTTTTTTTAAAGATTCTATTTATTTATTTGTCAGAGAGCACAAGCAGGGGGAGCAGCAGGCAGAGCAGGCAGTGGGAGAAGCAGGCTCCCGGCTGAGCAGGGAGCCCAATGTGGGACTTGATCCCAGGATCCTGGAACCATGACCCGAGCAGAAGGCAGACCCTCAACTGACTGAGCCACCCAGGCGTCCCACAAAAAGGGTTTTTTATTTAAAGCTAGTGACTCTCATTCCAAGAAATGTCTCTCCATCAAATCTGTTTATCTCATTAAAACAAGACAACAGGCCCCCAAATGGAGTCACTTATGCTAAGTCCCTCATCACCAAATTTAGATTTAATTTAATTATAGGTTTTGACACTTTCCAAAATGGAATCTTAAAGCAGTCAATCAGGAACTACCTGATTGGCACTAAACGGGTAATCTGCCTGATAGACCCCTGCCATCTCCTAAAGGAAAATGACCCTGTCACAGCCAGTCCACTTTTTGCTAGTATAATGTCTTTGTTCCTGCTCCTTTCTGCCTATGAAAGTCTTTCATTTTATACAATGCCTCAGAGCTCCCTTCTGTCTGCTAGATGGGATGTTGCCAGATTCACAAATCATTGAATAAAGCCAATAAATAAGATCTTTAAAATTTACTCAGTTAAATTTTTTTTAACAATCTCTATATATGTTATAATAAGTGTCTTTTTGTCTTTTAAGGAAAATTACTTAGTTATTGGCAGTAATAGAATTAAAGAATGTTTTTACTGGCACTGTTAAAGTTGAAAGATAAAAAATGGTGGTTAAAGGGGCACCTGGGTGGCTTAGTCAGTGAAGGGTCTGCCTTCAGCTCAGGTAGTGTTCTCGGGCTCATGGGATTGAGCCCCTCGTCAGGCTCCCTGCTCAGCGGGGAGTCTGCTTCTTTCTCGCGGCTTGCCCCATTTGAGCTCTCTCTGTCTCTCTCAAATAAATAAAATCTTTAAAAAGAATAAAGAAGTAAAAATGGTGGTTGAAGAGACCAAAGGCAGTATGATTGGAAAGGGCCTGCAGGAAGCTGGTTTTAGTTCTGTGTTAGCACAGAATGTTGATTATGAATGTCAATAATTTCTAGAAGCTTGTCAAGTTAAAGGATGCATTGAATTTGTGGCCGCTTGAAATCTTAATTCAAATACAATCAAAGCTGGACAAAGTCTTTGTTGTCTCCACTGCATTAGCTAATTTTAAAACCCTGCATCATTTTGCTGTCATTCGTTCTGTAGTTTGACTAGTACACAAAGGGAGTTAGTGTTATGTTCTACTCTAATCAGACTACAAAAGAGAATAACAAGTTCCTTCAAGCAATGTTTACCGAACTAAAAAGAACTATTGAGAAACTGAATTTAGTAAGCAATAGGAAATAAATCATACTACAAAAAAAAAAAAACAATTTTAACTTTTTTCCTGTAACATAAAATAAAATGCCTTGTAGGTTGATGTACAAAGTCTTGAGAGCTATTACTTACCTTCAAGTTCTTAATAAACTAGTAAAATATTAATATATTAACTTCTAATGATCAACATTGGGATTTTCCA